TGAATGCTCGTTTAACCTTCACTTGTACTTCATTTGAGTGTAAATAATAATCTTTATAACTTTGAAGGCTTAAACACTCAGTTCAATTTGTTAGTAAATAAGATGGACTTGTTTGTTATAATCAAAACATTAAGGTCATGATCAACCATAGGTCAACAAAGTTGTCATCTCGCGCGCATTTTTTTGTCTCTACACAGTTGTCAGTATTTTGATCATAACTTTCTCTTTCGATATCTAATTGAAGCGATTCAAAATGCATTGAAAAGCTAACTTAGAGGGCTAAAACTTTTCTAGAATATGCTTTTTCTAATTAAAACATTTACTATGCAAAAAATATTTCGACTAAAAATTTGAAACATAACTTATTCGATTGGAAATTGATTTGTAATAATATTTTGATCATATATCATTCCTTTTTTTTTACTTCTAATTGCATCCAATTATCTCCTAGAAATTTTCAAAGTATTTGTGGTCCGAATCAACTATTGGGTATTTACAATTTGATCCTCAAACTTTGGATTTCGTCAGTTTTCACTTCGTTTCTTTCTTTAAATTCCTCGTTCAACCATTGAGTTTTATCTATATAACATAAAATACAATAATTCATGATATATTTTGCCAAAAAAAATTATCAAATATTGTTATTTAAGACCCCGAATAATTGTATAAAAAACACTTGTCAGGCAGCATTGCATAGCATCTTAGCTCGTGACGTTAGACCAATAGTAGGACAGAAAGTACTCTTCCTAAGGAAATCGCTGAAATTTAAATAGCCTATAGTATCTGCATCGTGCCAAAGGTGAGTTGAGGCGTCAAGTTTCTTTGTGTTATATAGCAACTTTTAGAATGAAATTTATAAGTGTGTTAAATAATTATCAGTGTTAATCATACATTTACCAATTTGTGTTAATCATACATTTAAGGGTAGACGTAGGTTAGGTTGGGTCGATTTTTTACCCAACTCAAACCTAACCCATTTATGTGTTCCAACCCAACACCACCCAACCCAACCCAAACCAATCAAGTTTCGGTCGGGTTGGGTTGGGTTGGTCGGTTTCGACATTAAAAATCATAAAAGTATATTTCGACAATAAAAACATATCAACCGCATGAAATGCATAAACAAAAAATGATAAAGAAAGAAAATAAAGGCATCTTGTACCTGTAATTAAAACTGCATTTGTTTTCAAATCAAAGCTTAACAAGAAATAGGAAAGATTAATCAAAAATCCACTA